AAAATTTTTCAATAAACGTATTTCGGCCTTTCTTTTCAAATAATTTTTAGGTCGTAAAAGATAGCTTAAATCTATTAAATTTATGTTAAAATTTACATAATTATCTTTAATTTGAGCTATTATTCGTCGCCTTTTGATCCATTTTTCAATTCATTTCGTAGTTTGGAAAATTAAAAAAAATCTAGAATAAATGAATTTTTAGCTTTTATTATCAAATAACTTTCATCTGTTACAAATCCTATTTTTTTAGGTAGATGTCTTTAAATATCTATTATTGTTAGTCGGTCTCATATCGTTATTTGCAAAATTATGATAAAAAATACATTTTTAGGACATTATTGCCTTTTAATAACGTGTTTTTTTTTAATATTCAAACGAGAAATCTACCTATCCATGTCGGGTATGGCCGAATGGCGCTTTTTTAAACTGAGTATTAGATAAACTTTATAAGTGAGTTAAACAATTGTTTACAACGTATTGAAATAACTTTTATCAAGTTCTTTGCTATTATCGACAAGTTATTATACTTCTTGTTGATAACGTTGAATCTTACGTAATTACATTGGATTCCTCATTTTTTGCAGCTCAATCCTCAAACCAATATTCCAACGATGGTTGACGATGGCTTCTCTCTTTGGGAAAGGTTAATGCTTTATATAATCCAACATTAAAATGATTTTATTACGTTTAATAGAATGGAAATAATAATTGTATTTCTTTACTTTGCAGTCATGCTATAATGGCTTACTTAGTGAATCAATACGGAAAAGATGACTCTCTGTACCCGAAAGACCCCAAAGCACGAGCTCGTTGATCAGAGACTTTACTTTGATTTTGGGACTTGGTCTGAAGCATTCACCGACTACTTTGTAAGTTTATTACAGTAATATTAGCTTTTTGTCATACTGAGAGATAAAGTTGAGTGTTTTCGCGAATAACTTATTAAACGAAGAATTTTTGAAGTTCTTGTCGAATAATATTATGTATGCATGAACAAATTTATTTTTTTGTTTTTTTAAGTATCCGATACTGTTCTGTGGAGCGCCAAGAGACCAATCAAAGTATGATAAAATCGCAGTGGGCTTTGATCTACTTGAGAGATTTCTCGAAGGTCAGAATTACGTCGCTGGTTCACAATTAACCATTGCTGACCTCGCTCTGATTGTCACTGTTTCCAACCTTGAGGTTAGTATAAAAAAAAATTTTAATTTGTAATGTTTGAACTGCTTTTATTAGAAGAATGAATTATTTAATCACTTGATAAAATTAAGACTCCATGTCGAAATTTTATTGTAAAATAATTTATGTAAATAATTGAATAAGTACAATTATTTCTCGAGTTTATGATCAAACTCAAAAATGAAAACTAATAATAATTATGACTGTAAATAATTTTTTTTTTTATACAGGTGATAAAGTATGACTTCAGCAGATACAAAAATGTAAACCGATGGGCTACAAGAATCAAAGCAGAGGCTATCAGTTTTGAAGAATGCAATGGTGAAGGTCTCAAAGCGTTCCAGGAATTAATCGATTATCTTACCCAATAAATTTTTCTGTCAATTCTTCAGTTTAGTACAAAATGTATTCCTTTTTGTTGTGGATATAACAATACACTCTCATAAACTTATAAATTTCTTATTTGTTTGCTTATATAATTGTTAAGTTGAAATGCAATTGGGGGACATCCATTAATTACGTGAGCTTAGAATGAGGGGGGAGGGGTCCAATGAAATCTCACCAAATCTCATCTAAGCCGAGGGGGGGGGATAATCAAAAATCTCACCTCAACTTCAAAAAATATAAAATATTACAGACATTAAAAAAAAAATTATTTTGAGTGTTTATTTTGCCCGCTAAAATAAATTTTATGTCTATTAAAATCATTTACGCTGATGATTTAAACAAGCTCTTCTCAGAGCTAATGGTGAATTCTTTAACATTATAATTATAATATAAATTATAATATGTATGTATAAAAAAAGTACATGAGTCTCCATGGATTGAGTAAAAATTAAAAAAAAGTGTTGTTTTTATGTTTTTTTTGCTTTGAATTTAATTTAATTTAAATAAATTAACTATAGTATACTTGAATGGTTTATTATTCTCCCGAATAATAAAAATAATTTTAATTTAAAATATTTTTAGCGTCAATCTCACGTAAGGGGAGGGGGGGGGGTCCAGACAAATCTCACCTAAGGGGAGGAGTCTAAACTGATCGAAAAATAGCTCACGTAATTAATGGATGTCCCCTTGCATGTATTTATAATTATCATATTCGATGTAATTATTTTCTTCTAGAAATAAAATATGCTATTAATTACAATACACATCTTGAATGAAATAATTAATTACTTAACCTATGGACCTCCATAGAAAATCTACTTCTAGTCACTTGCGTATCTCTTCGTGAAAATATTTGTTGTCCATAAAATTTTTTTAGAGCTGTAGTGGTATTGCCCTTACCAAATTTCCGTCAAAAATGTGTTAATTTACGTACAAATATTTAGAAAAAATTATAAATCCACAAATTATTTATCTATTTTTATCTATAGCCTGACACGGCCATTAGAGTATTTTTTTAAGACTTTTTTTTTTCACGGGGATGTAGAAAAAATACAAACAAAAAAAAATTCTATCTAAGTTTCTTTGAGATAACTTTCAAACTTTCAAATTTAAAAATTCTAAAATAATATTTTTCTAGTTAGCTCTTAAAAAGTCTGCTCATAATTTTCGCTCAATTTCTACGACACTTCCGCCCTTTACAATAATCTTACGTCAGTCTCCAAATTAATCACTAATTGTCAATTAATTACTGGAATTTACGGTCTACAGCCTTGCTCCCGACAGATGTATCATTTTTCCTTCTCCTCAACTCAATTTATCTCTTCCATATGATTTCCAGGGCCCTCCAATGTTAAACGCTCCCAAAGTCTGTTTGGGTGTTGTGTTTCATAATCATTTTTGTCATCTAGAGTTATCTCTCGTCTGTCACTAATTTATCACTAATATTCGGGGTCTACAACCCACGGTCATGTTCCGACAGCTCAATTTTTCCGACTTTTCAACTCTGTTCGTGTTCGTAGTTTATCATTTTCAGTTTGTAACTCCACTTAATCTTAAATGCTACAGGTTGGTGACATTAAATGTTCAACTTTTTTCCTCACATATTATCACTGATTTTCAAACTTTACTACATTAAAAAAAAAATACAATTTATCATGATTCATGAGTAATAAAATAAAATTAATTTTGTTACAAAAACTAGATAATAATCAAAAAATTTCTCTACTACACTGTAAAAAATTGGGTGTGAATTTTTATTCCCACCTCCGGAAAAACTAGAGCGGATAAATAAAATATTCTGCGTACGGAGTATATCTGGAGTTTTCTTTCAACGGAGTGAAAATGATTTTAAAGCCAAGAAACATCCAAGTACGTAGTTTTTAGACTAAAATGAGTTTTTATTTATATTAACTAAAATAAATATCATATGCCAAATTATTAATAAATACTTTAAAAAATTTATCTTAAGTTTTAATATAAGTATATGAATGTTAATTACATTTTTCCAAAAAATTTGACATTAGAACATTAAACCAAATTTTCATAAAGATTATTTTGTTTTTAAATCTTTTTTTTATTGATAAATCCCAACGTAAAAAAAATAATAAATTATTAATATTACTATTTTTATTAAAGAACGCTAAGTACTTTCATGTTAACAAAATGAATTTTATATGGCAAATTTTGGCTTTTCTCAACAAATCAATTATTATAGAGAGAATTTATCAAAAAATGCTACTTGTAAAAATAAAAAAAAAATAATTATGCAGTTATTTTTAAATAATAAATTTTAATTGTTACATATCAAGCTCAGAAAAAAAATCACAGAAATTTTTTAAATCTCTAGATACACATTTTGTAATTTTTAAGCGAATAACAATAATTTTTTTTTCATTCAATGAAAAAAAATTAAAAATTATCACGTCGCGGAGGTTTTTCCATTAATAATACTAATAAAGTCCTTCTCAAAGTAAATTCCACTCCAGTGAAGTTAAATTAATTAAAAATTATCCACTCCGCAAATTTTTTTACCAGTCTAACTTTATCAAATAATTATCCCACTTTTTTATCTTTTTGATAAATTTATAAATTTATGATACTGCCCTGTAGATGGTAGTACATTAGTGTCGGCAAAATAGTATTTTTTGTGAGTAAAATGATGCACTGATCCGGCTGCGACGACTTGGATCTTCATCACCCGTAATATTCGCTTCCATCTTTCTTCATCTTAATTTTGTTCTTTTATTCAGCTTCCCTTGTCACGGCTGTTTTACGCTCGGTGAATTTCGGCTGGTAGTGGTATTCGCGTGCGTTTTATTGCCGAGAATTCCTTTTCTTGATCTGGACTCTCTCTTCTTTTTGCGCCCGGAACGACCCAGGTTCTTCTGTGTCTCATCTTCTTACTTACTCTCATTATATTATTTTTCCTCACGTCCTCTATATACATATATACATAAACTCTTCTTCATTCTTATTTTTACTAGTTTTATTATTTTTTTATATCCCCACTTTCACGCTTTCTCAGCCTGAACGCTGTCGGCCGCGGTTGCCAGTGACACTGCAAAACCGGGTACTGTTATCTCCTTTATTTACCAGCGCATCTCAATTTCACCAAAATTATATCGCTAGGAAATCACACCAGTTACCACTTAACAGTTGTACTTATTTGTTTTTTTTTTTCTTAAAAATTCTTGGAAGGATATTAAACATCTGAGAATTTTTTTAACTATGAATATTTTAATTCTTACACTAACACAAAATTTTTTTACTGACTGATCAATATTAAAACGTTAATTAAAACATGAGTAAATTTTTTTTTTAATTTTTATCAATTATCGAATAATTTATTCAATTCAATTTTTAAATTATTTCTTCGACTAAAATAATTAAACATTTTTTTTAGTCAAAACAAAAACTTATAACGATAATTATAATTCTGATTCCAGTAAAACTTTTTTCAGTGTACAGTCTAGAAAAAATTTTTTTCACAAATTTGAGCCTTAATATTACAAATAACTTTTTAATAACAGCCAAAGTTTGACCCGATACACGGAGAAAAATTAATTATACTACCTACTATACAAAAATAGTAACTCCTACTATCTAAAATGGTTATAAAATTAATTAGTAACAAAATAATAGGTGGTATCATTGACAATTGTAATAGTTACTATTAATAATGGTAATGATTACTATCGAAAATAATAATTGTAATAATTATAAATTATAACTGTTACAATTGAAGATGGTAACTGTAACCATCTCAGATTGTAAAAATTCTGAAAGAAAAATAATATAAGTTTACTTAATTAAATCCTTTATTTACATCCATATTTTAGCTAATGTACATTTTTTTCTTTGAAATTTTAAAATATTTAAAATTCCCTTAACCATCAGGTTATATTAGGAATTACGATTTTGATAATAGTAGTAACTAATTAAAATAATAACAGTTATTATTACTGATTACCATCATAATAGTAGTAGTTACCATCAGGATGGTAAATACTACAATTCAGATGGTTTACTTAATTATTTAAATAATATTTACTACTATTGAATTCAGTTAATAAATTTTAACATAACTAGATAATAAACTCTACTATAAAATTTTCTCCGTGTACTCCTCAAAAATTTCACATGACCAAAAATTCAACGCTCTATATTTCGAGGAATATCAATCTTAGCAATTCGATTTGAAGGATTTTTTTTTGTAGAAAATTAAATTTTTTACAAGTTAGTTTCTAATTTTTTTTTTTTTTTATTTTTTTTTTTTTTTTTTTTTCAGTAAATTCAGTCATTCATGACAGCACATCAAAAAAACTATTCTTAAGTTAAGTCAAGGAATTCAAATAAATTACAATTTTGATTTTAATGAGAATACAATTTTGACAAATTAAGACAAAATTTTATTTATAAAATCGAGTAAATTTCTTACAAATTAATATTTTTAATCAATCTCAACATAAATTCATCAAAAACTCCCATTTCAATGAAAAATTCTGAATTTTGAGCTACTAACTAATTAAACTCCGATTACCGAACTAATTTGCCCAAATAAACATAAATATAAATCACCCGTTTGGCAATAAATTGAACCCGTAAAACCTGTCATCGTTAATAACTCGAGAAAAGCATAATAAATAGTTAAATACACGACAGAATTCCGTAACTAAGATCTAAGACGTGGGAGTCGAGTCTGGAGCCTCAAGTCTTAGTCTTAGTCTGTATCTGGGGCTAGAACGGAAGCGTATAAAGTCTCATACTTAGTTTCTCCGCTAAATCGTCCGAAGCTAAAGGCTCTGCTACTGTACCAGATAAAAATATCTAACAAGGTTCCTTTGCATGCCAGATATATGAAAAAGGTTCTTGAGCTGAGGCCGTAACTCATTGCCCGCGATATTTATCACTCATCTGCTTCCTCTGTCGTCCTATATCACGTCAATACACTTAACTCTGATGCGAACTTTCTTATCCTTAAAAATCCATGCATTCATCTCCATCTCCATCTCCATTTATTTATTTATTTAAAAAAGCAACAATATAAGAAGCCCTTAAATAGTATGAAGTGAAACCCTTTGCTCACAAGCTTGCTATCGACAATAAATATACACCGAAAAAAAAGTATCCTGACTAAAGAAGAATATTCTTGCCTACAGAATATTTTGAGGAAGACAACGAATATCTGGATTCAAAAAAAGTATTTTCTTGATGTTGAACATTTTGATTCAAAAGTTTCAAATCATTGAGAAAAGTTTAATTATTTTTCAATAAATATTTTTTTATTGTTTCATTAAAACATGAAATATTTCAGATTGAAAAATTAAATCTCTCGACACAAGAGCTATATATTTTACTGACTCC